TTTCGGGGGGGGGGGCGGGGACGGAAACGAACGTTGATTTCGTCATTGTTTCGCGATGCTGATCATGCTTTTCGCGCTGTTGCATTCTCCTCCATGTCTCTCAGGACCCGTTTGATTCATGTTAACCGATGGGCCAATGGGCACCTAGGAGGGGGAGGAGGAGGAGGAGGAGGAGGAGGAGGAGGAGGAGGAGGAGGAAGATGAGGAGGAGGAGGAGTTGGAGGAGGAGGATGAGGAGGAGGAAGAGGAGGATGGAGTGGAGGAGGAGGAGGAGGAGGAGGAGGGAAGGAAGGAAGGAAGGAAAATAGGAAGGAGAGAAGGAAGGAAGGACTCGAGGGGAAGGGGAAGCGACACCAACACCACCATGGAGGCCTCCTCCAGAGAGGTGGTCCACGATGCCTCCCCGAGCTGGGGATGGGGGATGTCTCGAGCGAGAAAGGGGGACCACACCACCAGGGAGGCCCCCCCTGTGCTGGTCGAGCTGCTGCTCCCTGGTGGTGTTGGTGTCGGTTTTCGTCCTGACCGCACGCGCGCTCGTGTGCCTCCCTGGTCTCCTGACAGCCGCCGGCGCGGCCGACCCCATCTGCTCGGAACCCCGTTCCCAGACCTCCGACGTCTTGAAAAAAAATCAGGGCGGCGGTGTCTCGTAGTTTTCGGCGTCCGGGGGCCTCCAGGGGGCCCCAGGGGTGTGAACAAACGATTCAGGACGAGAAAGCGGTCCTGGGGACAAGGTCGGGACATCCGGGGGCCATCAAAAAATTGGAGCGCCGTGACCCCAAGGGGTCGGCGGATTTCTCTTATAACGACTGCCACGACGACTGTTACGACGACGACGACGTTGGCAACTACAAGTGCTAATGCTACCGCCTGTATAAATATTGGTACGGCTGCTACTACGACTACTATGATGGTCGCAACGATGCTCACGACCACGACCACGACCATGAAATATTTCGACCACGACCACGACGACTACTATGATCATTGTATTATTATTACGATTACAACGGCTATAACGACGACGACTACTACAACTACTGCTATTACTACCTCCCGCATCACGATTGAGTTATTTCCAATGATACAAGGCTCCCAAAGACACCGGCGACAACGAATATGACGACTGCCACGACTTGATTACGACGACGTTGGCTATCACCACCACTACCGCTACTACTACTACTACTACTACTACTACTACTACTACTACTACTACTACTACTACTACTACCACTACTATTATTACTACTACTACTACTGCCACTGCTACTACTACTACTACTACTACTACTATTACTACTACTACTACTACTACTACTACTACTACTACTAGGACTACTACTACTACTACTACTACTACTACTACTACTACTACTACTACTACTACTACTAGCTACTACTACTACGACTAATTATTATTAATAACTACTACTAACTACTAACTAGGACTATACTACCTACTACTACTACTACTACTACTACTACTCCTACTATCCTACTACTACTACTACTACTCGACTACTACTACTGCTACTACTACTACTACTAATACTACTACGACTACTACTACTACTGCTACTGCTACTGCTACTGCTACTACTACTACTACTACTACTACTACTACTACTACTACTACTACTACTATTACTACTACTACTACTACTGCTGCTACTACTACTACTACTACTACTAGTACTACTACTACTGCTACTGCTACTACTACTACTACTACTTGTGTTATTGTTGCTGCTCCTGCTAGTACTGCGTTGTTATTCTTATTATTAATATATTTTTGAAGCATTATTAGTAGTTTTATTTCTACTACTACTACTATTACTTCTACTACCAGTAGTACTTATTGTTATACTACTACTACTACTACTACTATCTAGTACTACACTACTACCACTACTATACTACTACTAACTACTCTACTAGTAGTAGTAACTACTACTATTACTACTACTAACACTGACTTACTACTATCACTACTACATACTACCCTACTACTACGACTACTACGGCTACTACTGCTACTACTACGACCACCATCACCTACATCTACGACCACTACTACTACTACTACTACTACTACTACTACTACTACTACTACTACTACTACTACTACTACTACTACTACGACTACTACTACTACTACTACTACTACTACTACTACTACTACTACTACTACTACTACTACTACTACTACTACTACACTACTACTACTACTACTACTACTACTACCACTACTACTACTACTACTACTACTGCTGCTGCTGCTGCTGCTGCTACTACTACTACTACTACTACTGCTACTTCTTCGCCAACCGCCACGACTCTGCTACTACTAACTGCCACGAGGCGGCTGCGGGCGGCAACGTGGCGAAGCCTCGCTGGACCCACCCAGCGCACGCGGCGGCCACGAGGCGGCTTCGGGCGGCAACGTGGCGAATCCTCGCTGGAACCGCCCAGCGTGCGGGGCGGCCACGGGAGGCAACGT